TCTCCGAAACACGCATACAGGATCCTAGTGTGGTCTATCACTTGACCTCACCTCGGCAAAACGGAGAGCCAACGAGATACACCCTCCGTGTATCTGGCGACCCGATGGCTAGTTCTCGTGGACTGGCAGGTGTGGGCATAGCACTAAGCATGAGGGCGGAACAAGCGCTATTAGAGTGGATCCCCGTTAACAGTCGTCTATGCGCTGTTCGGCTAAACGGCTCCGTAAGAACTCAGAAGGATAGGGACACACGTCGTTGCCTTTCCCTCGTTTCTGCCTAAGCTCTCACTGACCGCAGCTCGGATGAAGTGAGATGAATTTTACAGAAAACTCTCTGAACTTCTTCAGAAAGCCAAACGTTCAGACATAGTACTCATAGCAGGCGACTTTAATGCCCAGGTAGGCAGCTTAAACGAAACAGAAAGACATTTAGGTTGGTATTTTAGTATTCCGGCACAGCGAACAGATAATGGTGATCTTCTGCTGCAACTGTGCTCAGACAATCATTTATTTTTATTAAACACAAATTTTAAGCATAAGGAGAGACATCGTCTAACATGGCGACTCCCTGCACCAAACCAACGATGGACTCAAATAGACCATATCGCCATCAGTCATCGTTGGAAAGGGTCGATAGAAGATTGTCGCTCATTCTGGAGTACCTGTTTGGACTCCGACCATGCCCTAATACGAGCACGCATCTGCTTGCGCCTCACTGGACGCAAAAAAGCCACACAAAAAAGACTCATTAGAACCGAATTGAGTAGTGAGAAAACCAAACGTAGGTTCCAGGAACAACTGAGGTCACACTTAGGTAGTTCTGAAAACAAGGCTGACTCAGGTGTTGCTTGGAAAGTTATACAAGCAGCTGTGGAAACAGCAGTGACATCTACTAGTGATTTAAACCACAGGGTTACAAAGAACCAATGGATTTCTCCAAGGTCTATTGCACTGATGGATTCTCGCAAACTCATCCCATCAGGTTCTGAACACGATGATGTGCGTAAAGAGATCAGATCTAGGTTAACCAAAAGTCTAAGGAACGATCGTGAGCAGTGGTGGGAAACGAAAGCAAAAGAGATGGAAAAGGCGGCGGCTATAGGGAACACAAGACAACTCTACAGACTAATAAAAGAAACTGGAATTAATAAATCAAGTGTAAGTCAGACCATTTCGGAAAAAGACGACACTCTCATCTGCTTCCAGTCCAGACGCTTAGAACGATGGGAGGAACACTTTAGCTGGCCTTCAGCTACTCTACAACTACCCTCTATTCCCAGACAGTGTGAATGGAACATTGAAGTAGGTCCCCCAACTCTAGCTGAAGTTCAAAAGGCTATAGTTAATCTGAAGCGAGGAAGGGCAGCTGGTCCAGATGGATTGGCCCCAGAGGTCTTTAAGAATGGTGGTCTAGTTTTAGCGGTTAGGTTGACTAATATTTTAGCTAAAATCTGGGAGTTGGCCGTAATCCCATCTAACTGGTCACAATCACTTATCGTCCCAATATTTAAGAAAGCGTCAAAATCATCCTGTGAGAACAACAGAGAGATTAGTTTGACTAATATAGTATCTAAAATACTAGCCTCGATAATTTTCGGACGCCTAACTAAGACTCGTGAACTGCAAACACGAGAAAATCAGGCTGGCTTCAGACCTGGTCGTGGCTGCATCGACCACATATTCACCATTCGTCAGGTTCTAGAACACAAGCATACTTATTGGTGTCTGACAATGGTGGCCTTCCTTGACTTAATAGCAGCGTTTGACTTTGTAGACCGAAAGGTTCTGTGTCAGTGTCTGTCATTGAAACGCGTACCTCAGAAGTACATAAACCTTGTGAAAGCTCTTTACTCGAACACTACTAGTCGAGTGAGAGCTTATGGCGAACTGTCATCTGCTTTCGCAACCTCAAGTGGCGTCCGCCAAGGCTGTCCACTTTCTCCATTTTTGTTCAACTTCATCATACATCTACTGATGGAAATAACGCTCTTATCGACTGAATTATTGGGCATTGATCTCCTACCAGGAGGTCCACTTATTGACTTAGAATACGCATATGACATACTCCTGTTTGGTGAAGACGCTGATAAAATGCAGAGTCTTTTGGTAGCACTGAGCAACAATGCCAGAATGTTTGGGATGCGCTTCTCTCCCTCTAAATGCAAGTTGTTGCTTCAGGACTGGTCTGCGTCAACACCTGAACTAAGGATAGGGAGTGAAGTAATCGAACGCGTTGACAACTTCACTTATCTTGGAAGTCTGATCAGCCCTAATGGGTTGGTGTCTGACGAAATCTCAGCACGGATTCGAAAAGCTCGTTTGGCCTTTGCCAACTTACGTCATCTATGGCGAAGGCGAGATATCCGTCTATCAATTAAGGGACGAGTATACTGCGCGTCAGTTCGTTCCGTCCTTCTATACGGCTGCGAAACATGGCCTTTAAGAGTGGAAGATATTCGTAAGTTACTAGTATTTGACCACAGGTGCCTTGGAAATATTGCGGGTATGTGCTGGTGAGGTTAGACGCAGGGTATTAGGGAATGATGGTAAGTCAGTTGATGAGGTTATGAATCTTCATCGACTGAGATGGTTGGGCCACGTGCTGCGTATGCCTGAACACCGATTACCACGGCGCGCAATGCTAACCGGTGTTAGGGATAATTGGAAGAAAGTTAGGGGTGGCCAAACCAAAACATGGCATCAGTGCTTGAAGTCACTAACTTCTGGTCTGAGCCATGTTGGTAGATGCAGGCTACTTGGTTGGGGTTCGCGTGACCATCGTAGCCTATAGTTGGAAACTCTGGGTGACATGGCTCAGAATCCATCACAGTGGCGTCGGTGTATACACTCTCTGTCTTCCTTTAAACTAAGAGATTAAAATCACTTCATATCTTTCTTTCTAGGAACCAATTCTTTCTTCCTGTACTATCTCCTTATATGCAATCTTCCTTCTATATATTACCACCACTGAATTAACTACTTCTATGAATCCGGTGTTCATCTTGTTGTGCTAATGTGGTGTGGCAACTTGGACCGATGCATATACGTGCCTGGTCCTACGTTGCAGCTGACTGACTGACTGCTCTCTAATTTGCGGTACCATTACTTATTCATTAACAGGATAAACAGGTCATAAGTTATAATAATAATCGCAAATGAATTCATCAAATGATTAAATTCTGCTCAACAAGATAATGATAATTTTTGAATTTCTTTTGAATGATGACTTAAAATTATGTTCAGGAACAAAATTATTTAAGCATTCATGTAATCTTTCAGGTAAAGTTCTGTTCATGAGAATTTAGAAATAACAAAGGCATGGTTAGCTCTTGGATATGAAACTATTAACCTTTTTGAATTAATCTACAACGAGATATACTGCATATGTAATAACTAATTAATTAACCTTTAAGGAATTTTAGCTGACATCAATGAGTATACAATGTGTGTTTTAATATGTATAGAGTCAAATAATAATTCGCTACATTCTAGACAGTAAACCACTAAAAAGTCATACATAGTGAATCAAAATAAATTGATTCAATCTGAAATGTCATCACTGGCAATTATTAAAGAATAAAAGGTTAGTGACCAAAATTCTTATAAAACATTACAGACCCCATTATTGTGAAAAATATTTAAACCAGTAACTAACTAAAATAATACTGCTATTAATGATAGTATGAAACTAAACATATACTCCAAGTATTTTTAAATATTAAAACTAAAGGCCTAAACAAAAATAACAAATAAATATCATCAGCTATAACATTTCGTTCACGTTACCTATGGTCCTCAGGCATAGACTATGATTATCTATCTAGCTTTAACCAGGGGCTTGCGTCTCCCTGTATGATTCAAATCGATTAGCATAGACTTCATGAACTGATGTCATGTCTTGGTCTAAACCTGGCCATTAACTTGAAATGTATTATGTTTAAAACTATAGATTTCTGTTATCAAACTAGTGAAATGTAGAAAAAAGTGCAATACCAAAACTTCCCTAAAAATCAAGATGGATTATTCAAAAACATCTTACTGATGTATTGATTTTATCGACTTAACTATATCCTCGTTTGTTAGACTGGTATCCACATGCAATTTGATTATTGACGGAAAACAACACAGTCACTTGCATTGCATTCATTGAAACACAACACATGACTGTAGAACTGGAATTTCAGATCACTTTATGAGTAAGTTTGCCATACACCGTTTGATCTATTAAAAGTGAGGAGAATAATAGTGTTTATTAGTTTAATACATGATTACTAAAGAAATCAGTTCTCGATCTTCAGTAGCTTCGTATAATCGTCGATATAAAAAAGGATAACTGAGTCAACAATAGGAAAATCTTCACACTGATAACAGTTCCTATGCAAATCTATTTTAATAAGACAGATAAAAAGTAAGGTAAACACATCCTAAACTGATTTACATACAGTGAAAATAGACTAATAAAATCTACATAATTTTAGACTAGCAAATAATTAGTTGGTAAAATTTTGTGGAGACTATGCATTATTTCCATAGAATGTAAATTTTTAAAAAACTCCAGCACATAATAATGGAAGCAAAAGTGATTGACATATATGTAGTTTAATTGTGAAATTACAAACTGATTAGTGAAAAGTGATGTAACTAGTTTAAAGCAGAACTATACCACAAATTATTTAATAACCTAATATGACCTAACGTCATTATATTTTAATTATTCGTCAACATGTAGCAAATCGAATTAAGGTCAAATAAAATCATTATTTGTAGGGTTTATCATCAATAGTGGTAATACATTTACATATAAAATTATAATATAACAATGAACTTGAGGTAGAAAATATTAACATTGTAAATTTCAGTATATAGTTATAGCAACTATAATTAATAATGATTGTATGTTTTTAATGAATAAAACAGATGAACATATAAGAGAACAACAGTCATATATCAATGTTAAAATGAAAATAATCAATATCACTAGAAAAAAAGGCAAAACTTACGTGATCTCATATAAATGTTATTAGTATGATCATCATGTGAACTTTTGGCATTATCTAATAAAATAGAATTATAATTATATTGATGTATATTATCAATAGGATTAGTAATGACATTATTATGTCGTTTATTGTTATTATTGCTATTAGAAATAGTAGTAGTAGTAGTTACTGTTGTTGTAGTAGCATGATGATGTCTACCATTCTCATGATGATGATAATGAATAATGCTACTATTATAGTTACTGGAATTTACTAACGAGTGATAAGGGGAATTTTTCGGACTTTCATAAATAACAGATTCTGTAAATGAATTCTGACTTCTTCCCATCAATGTATCACGATCATTTGTGGTTTTACATCTAGACACTGAGGAATTCATTTGAGTTTGTATTCTTTTAAAGTCTACTGGTAGTGTATTTAAATCTTTATGATTATGTAATATATGTATATTATGATTATTTATGTTTAGCTTATCCCAATTAGGTGATTTCAATTCATGGGGAAATAAAACTTGATATGCTTTTATAAATTCAGTCACTGTATGATTGATGAGTTGTGATGCTGACATTTCAATATATGGATCTTCATCTTGTTGACGTAAAAAATTTGGTGCAAACATGCTAGCCAAACTAGCTATAGACATTCGATTTTGTTTTTCATGTTCAGATACCTTGAAATTAAATTGTGAATAAAAGAAACAGGTAAAAATTAATAATTCACTCTACACACATCATTTTATTATTTAATTATTCAACAGAAATTTTCTTTAACTCATTCATTCATATATAGTAGTATCTACCGCCTTCAGGCAAATAAATAAAACTTAAATCCTAATGAAATAAAACTACAGTAAATTAGTGAGTTTTATTTATTTATTGTTTACACGTAATTAATGTGATAAAGTGATTTATTATTTTACTGAAATCATGTATCAAATTTCACTTTTGACATAATGGTATATGACATTTTAGATGAAACTTAGTTGCCTTGACAAATATAATCTGACGATCATATTTACGTATTGGCATTAAAGTATGTATATATTGCGTGAAGAAAACATTTAAAAAATGAAGCTGTCAACAAACTGCTTACATGATATATCATAGATTTTATGTGCTTTTATTTATAGAACACCTCTCTATTTCCATAGAGTTACATATTTAATAATTGAAAATGTTTGCCCGTACTTGATAATTTTCATTCGATGTAATACTCTTCTATTATATTATAGACTACCATATGTTAAAAAACTACTAAAAAACAATTACTTACTTTTATACCAAGGGTTATTATTCCTTATACTAATTAAATTTATTCATAATAGTTGAATTCACGAATCGATGCTAGACCACCGCTGAAAACCTACAAGTACTGGACGGCCGTCTCGTCCCAGTATGAGACTCCTCGGCATCCATGATCCAGCACGCAGGACCAGTGGAGTTCAACAGTCTGTCTTGAGGCAGTTTCTCGCTGAAGACAATGGTGAACGGTTGCGCAATACTGTGCATTGGTTGAAGTTACACATTAACACGATTGGATGTCGATTCACCGGTCTAGAGATTGGGTACTCTCACGCGGGACCGAAGGTCCTGGGTTCGAGTCCCATGTTTGGGATCGTGGATGCTCACTTCTGAGGAGTCCCTTACTAGAACGAAACAGCCGCCCAGTACTTCCAGGTTCTCAATGGTGGTCTAACATTGATCCATTCATGGGTATCAATCTAAACTCAACGATCTCCACAAGCCTATACAGACAACGATATCAGTTTTCTACTAGACTAAGTTTAAAACATTAATTAAATCTAACAGAGATAATTAAATAGATTTGGACATTTAACCTTGATCATTGCTAATGAAATGTCTATTTTTTTAATTTATCTATCATTTGAAATATATATATATATATATTCTTCGAATAAATTTAAAATAAAAACATTGTAATAGAAGAATTATTTAACTGCTAAAATGTTCATGTAAAATATAAATGATAAATTCTTCCTGCTACATATATTCATACAAATATATTTCCTTACAGTTGCTGTTCTATATCAGCCTGATTATTGTTGTAATATTAATTTGGTATGATCAATATCTGACAAGTTTACTAACTTTAATATGTATTAAACACCAATAACTATGATAATCAGTTAAGATCAAGTGTAAAAATTGACTGTTACAGAGTCTATTGTCAAATTTCACTAAAATTTGTTTAATTAGCCGACTTACTTACTTACTTGCACCTGTTACTTCTAATGGAGCATGTGCCGCCGATCAGCATTCTCCAACCCACCCTGTCCTGGACCTTCTTTCCTAGTTCCATCCAATTCTTGTTCATTTTTCTCATATCTATCTCCATTTCTCGACGTAATGTGTTCTTTGGTCTTCCTCTTCTCCTACTTCGGCCTTGGGGATTCCATGTGAGGGCTTTCCGTGTGACACAGTTCGGTGCTTTCCTCAATGTGTGTCCTATCCACTTCCAACTCTTCTTCCTGATTTCTTCCTCCACTGGAATCTGGTTTGTTATCTCCCTCGGTAGGTTGTTGCTAATACTGTCCGGCCAATGGATCCGAAGTATTTTGCGTAGACAATTGTTAATAAACACTTGTATACTCTGGATGATGGCTTTCGTAGTTCTCCAGGTTTCTGCCCCATACGGTAGAACTGTCTTCACATTTGTATTGAAAATTTTGACTTTTGTATTGGTTGCCAATTGTTTTGAGTTCCAGATATTCTTCAGTTGTAGATATGCTGCTGTTGCTTTTCCGATCTGTGCCTTCACATCTGCATCAGATCCACCGTGTTCATCGATGATGCTGCCCAGATATGTAAATGTTTCCACTTCTTCAAAATCTTCTCCGTCAAGTGTGATTCGATTGTTGCATGCTGTGTTGTATCAGAGAACCTTGCTTTACCGTTTGTGTATATTGAGACCTACTGCTGCTGAGGCTGCTGCTACACTGGTCGTCTTCTCCTGCATTTGTTGTTGTGTGTGCGATAGAAGAACCAGATTATCTGCGAAGTCTAGATCGTCCAACTGCATCATAGATATCCACTGTATCCCGTGCTTTCCCCCCACACCAATCTTTACTTCGAACGAGTTTGTCAACTGTCCTCCGTGCACGATTTTGCAGTTTAATCCGCCTAGAGTTCCTCCGCAGGCTACTGCCTGTCCAAAGCCCTGATAGAGGAGAGTTGGGCATGGGGTTAGCGATCCCATCCCGTGGAAAACTAACTCGCTAAAAAACGCTAATTAGCCGAAAACTCCCCTATTTATGTTACATGTTAACTATAATATGTATTTCGACGATTAATCTTGATAGAGTGAGTAATTAATTTTGTAAGAGATTAACCTGACTAAATATTTTCAATTAAAATGTTAATGTATATTTCAAAATTCCTTAAACAAGTTTTGTTAAAAGTTTGTAAAGATTTGTTTTACTTTTAATCTACACAAACATATTCCAAAAGAAATAAAGAACATATTACCAGTATAATCTAGAATTCATATTTTTAATACTATTTTATATTCATTTTATTGTAAACATTAGATTATTACATTATGAGAGATTGTTATCATTTAAATTTCTACTATGTAATAGGGAATATATACAAAATAGACATTCATTACTCAGTACTCTTAATTGACTTCACTAAACTCTATTCATTATGATAGTATTAATTGATAAATGTTTAGTTTATAATTCATTATAAGATTTCAATTGCTTAATACCGTTATTATTATTACTGTGATCTTTGCATCTGCAATTAATTGAAAATTCAATATTGATAACGTTAATACCAAAATAAGTCTTTCGTTTTAATTCCATATTATAAGTATCATATTTAAATTATCATTCTTTAAAGCATTATGACATAATGACATCATAATTATCTATTAATCAATAATTATTACCTATTCTCAACATTAATTAAAAATAAATAAGTTTAGTCAACTATGACATATAATACTGTCATTATAGTACAAACAATTCTTATTTAATATCAGGAGATTTTTGGATATTATAATAATTTTAATCGTTAAGATCATAAGTCAAATGAAGCTAGACCACCATGGAATGTGTCACCCAATTTCGTGGATAAGTTAAAGTTAGACGCTAACACCGTCGGATGCCGGCTCAATGGTTTAGAAGTTAAGCGCTCGCGCTCGAGACTGATAGGTCTTGCGTTCAGATCTCACGAAGCGGGATCGTAGATACGCACTTCTGAGGAGTCCCACAGTGAGACAAAAAGGCCGTCCAGGTTTTTCATGGTTATCTAGTATCAATTGACTCATGGTCTGAACTATTAAAATTCATATTTAATCAATGTATTTTTCTCTCTACCTTTTTTGATCAATATTATTTATAATGAACAAAGTGTAAGTATATATCAATAGTGTACCGATATTTTACCCTGATAAGATTAATTTGTAGCTTAGATGTTTGAGTTAAGAATGTATTAAGTTCATGATAGCTTTAGAAATGTTTCAAAATTAGTTGCTTATTTTATTTTTAAAAATAACTTATTGACTGAATATTGTAGAAAACAATCCAAATGCTTTGTACCCGAACAAGTTTTAAGCAACAAGTCTAGGAACTTATAATTTTACTGTTGTAATAAAAAAATATTACTGATCTATAATACGACATTTCGTTTACTAGCAATTCGAAGGGTTTTGCTCATCAAATTTTGTTCTATTGTTTTTCAAAAACAACCACTTCATTTTATTGAAAATATGATGACATTAACTCTTTAGTGAATATGTCTTCAGCATAGTCTTTACATAATTAATTTCTTTTATCATACTAAATTTAAAAAGATTAATTGTCAAGTTTCTAAACACTTAAAACCCGTAGTTATAGTGAGAAAATAATAATGAAAACAGGTGAATGAATAAACTTAGAACTGATCATATGCCACTCTAATAGTTGTAGGAAGTCTAAACCGATAATTTTTCACAGTATTATGTCTCTGTATAATGTAATAAAGAAATGTTACATTCATGAAGAGTTAAAACTCCATTATATGTATATAAACTACTGATATATATATATATATATATATATATATATATATATATATAAAGTATCCCTGAAGACGTAAACATCTCTGAAAAAATTCCAAAATTGCATTCTGTAAAAATAAAATTTTGTTCCATTTTATATTTTATGGACATTAACGACCATGTCGGTGAAAGTAATGTAACGTGTACAGTATTTTAGAAATAAATTTGTATTTCGATAACCCAGAGGAATTAATTAAAATACCGCTGATTCTTTGACTGAATTTAATGTTTTCAAAAGTCTGAAATTTGGTAATAAATAGTCTAGTTACCAAATTCGTACCACCTACGCTAATTTGTACGTGTTTCTGGCAAGATCCAAGCAGTAATAGTGTTGGGTGACCGTTCTTTACCCATGGAATCGAACACATCAAAAAGGTATGCAACTACATTATCATTTACATGTAAATAACTGAATTATATGAACTATAGTACAAAAGAAAACATATGGAATATATTCAAAATTATTTATGAAATTTAGGCTGCCGTCAAAATCTCTTTCAATATAGTCATTCTATAACCAGAAAACTATAAATTTAGTAAACTTCTATTTAAATGTCATACAGTTCATACCATTATTATTGATCTTACAAATAGTTAGAACTTCGTGATTTGATTGTATCAAATTTCATTCACACATAATTTTCCAGTCTTTTAGATATAAACATTTTACATAAAAACAATATCCATACCTTGATGTATTGAAAAAAAGATCAAATTTCATTGTCTTCATTTTTTTATTAGTTTAGATAATTTGTTTGAAACTCCTTATCATATTAAAAGACTAATATGTGAATGAAGAATACTCTTTTAATAAATTCTCATGTTCTACAATTACATAATAAAATTAATAATTCGAAAAGTGGCCAGGTTTAAGGCATAGTACATCGTTTAAAGTTATAGCATATTAATTTAGGATTGTCAAACAAAACAAAATTATCAATGTTGATTTAATTGATATGCAATGTTAAGTTGAATCAGCTTACACGTTAAACGAAATTATGAGATTCATGATCAGAATAAATATGGGTTAGATAGAGCGAGAGAGAAAATAGTGCAATTACAAAGGAAGACTATATTGTGTAAAACTTTTATATAAAATTATTAAGAAATAATGAAGTAGGATAAATGTTAAGTAAACGAATCATGTACTCGGTAGGTTAATAATGATGTTAAACCAATAATAATAATAATAATAATAATAACACAAAGATATGTGAATAAAGATAACAGACAATTATATTTGACTAAGAAAGGCTGTAAGTACATTAGTTAAATTAGGTCATTTCAATAGCTAATATTACTATTGATTAATTAACCCTAAGGTTAACCAAGGCAGGAGAAGAGGTTGAAGATATTTCTGTTTGTACACATAGCTCTGTTCTCTTAATCTGAATTGTTATTGCTTCCGCCATTTGAAGGACTTTAACTTTGATAGACTCTAGGAGAAACTTACTGACTCGATAAGCAATTGGAAAAAATTGGCTTATACCGGCAGTATGGTCAGCTTGCACTAAAAGGGCCAATATCCAGCTGTTCACCTTCTTTACTAGTTCTTTGCATAGCCATGCTGGGAGGTATTCGCAAGCACAAAAATGTCAATTCCTAGAACTTCGACCAAAATAACTTGCTCCACAAGAACAGTCGAAATGTTAAATACAAAACAAGGTGGTCGTTTTAGGTCATTCATCTTTTAGCCTCGGTGTCATCATTGGGTGCGTAGAAAACACTAATCGTGGTTCTTAGGCGTTGAACGATTTATGGATTGTTCCGCATAATATCTGGATCAATATTTCGCTAACTGAATTCCCTATAAACTGTAGGCTCATGAACAGGAATTTCTTATTCACTGTTTGTATTCCGATTATTCTAGCCTTCATGATCATATATTTGTCTATAAAATTTCCAGGGTATCCGTTCTCCCCAAGTGCATTACACAAGACGTTTAGCTCTTCTTCAACTATATCTGTGTACTCGATAACCAAGAGTTTTAACCAGGTTTCCTTTTTAATGTAGAGTTACAAAGCTAAAGGGAAGGTGTGTACTGACGTGTCCAGGTAAATTTTCTGTTGAAATTCCTTCTTATTGATTCGTCAGCTCTCTTGGTTAAGCGAACGTCTAAAAAGGCTATTCTACATTTACTTAATGGGTGGGTGTACTTCGTTAAATCACCTAAAGACCTCTAGTTCTGATGCACTATGGTTACAGAGGATGAATGTGTTATCCATATATAGGTATTAAAATATGGATTTTTGAGTAATCTTTAGGTAATTTAAATTCAAAAACGGTTTATTCCTCGTGGAATATTCCTTTTACTTCTAAATTTAAATGGTAAGCTAATAAAATTTGTCATACTTCCTTCAAATCTTTACAAACCGATGAATGAATTAACTCAAATAATTTTACAGTACAACAAATAATAATCCAACTTATATATATCAATATAATAATTACCTCATAAAGAAATTCACATAAATATTTGAGTAGATTGTAGTTAGGTGATGGTAAATTGTCAAACAAATTAATAAAATCAGATAATTCTTTACCATCAGCTATACGATAGCCAGCAGCTTTTAATTTATCATAATATTTATATGGTATAACTGGTTCAGGTAATTCTCTTAAATAATATTTTAATAATCCTGAAACAAGATGAACATCATGTTCATTAGGAATAAGAATTGGTCCTGGACATGCTAAATCATATAAATCAGCTAGTGATTGAATTGAATTCTGTTTTCCACATTTTCTAATAAATATATAATCAAATAAAAAGTTATCGAAAATTACTATATAATTTTGTATATAAAATAATTATATAAAAGTATAGTACATGATATGAACATAATCTAATATATATAAAAACAACAATTTCATCAATATAAAATACTCTCACAAATTTCTGTTTTAAAAAAAGAACTAAATGCTCATGTGAAGGGATTTAAAACTCACCAATATCAGAAAAGTTTTGCAACATGATTTAAAGCTTCTCTACTTGTTATTAGATAAGATTTATTTACTCATTTCAGTACTGGACAGATTACTTGCTCAGTATTACTTGGAACTAATCTACATTAGAGCAATATTATCATTATATGCATCGACCAGTGAATACCATACATGTCGGTATTTAAAAGTTGTATACTACATTCACTATTATTATTGAACAGCACCTCAAGTTCCGTTTTTTTATTTTGTTAGGTAAGAAAGTATGAACCAATATATTGTTGTTCCAAGTTATAAACTTTCGTTTCATTCTCGCATAACGGTCTTCTCATAAGCTTTTGATACAGTTAGCTCCGTAAACTCATGATAAAAGATTGTTTATTTGTAAACTTAGGGTGAACTTTGATTTTGTTTCGAGAATAATGAAAAATTGAGTTTAAACTATGGTTTAACTATTACTAATGCAATCAATAAATCTTTGCTGAAATTCATTTGTATCCTTCTACCCCCTTTTTAATCCAACCTTTAAATGATGTAAAACGTCACTTGAATTCAGGTATTTTTAAATGATAATTTTCAATTGAATTGTTAGTTATGTTAGAAGAGTTTTTCATGGCTTCAATTTATTCTAGATAACGAAATTTCACAAATGCTTCTCTGTGCTACATTAAACATTCGATTAGCTTATTTGCATATTCAAATGCATTTTTATTTCCGTCTAATATAACGTTTGAATAAACATCAAATAATATTAGTTAACTTGATATTGTTTTACTTGAATCTTTCCATTGATGTTTAGGACTGAAATTGATCAGTCCCTTATTGGCATATGTGCATACTATGCGTATCGCCTCGATATTTATTATTTATTATAACTTGAAAATAGGAGAAGGTGACTTTACCTACTTGAGTGGTATTCAGTAGTATATTATATATATATATATATATATATATATATATATATATATATATATATATATATATATATATATATATATATATATATATATAAATTACAATGTACATAATATCTGATATTCACAAATACTAATTTATGCAAATAATCATTTCTTTTAATTATTTCAGTACTCTTTTCACTAACTTTCAATGAGATTTGCGTGAGCAGTATTATTATTATTATTACCAAATATTATTATCTTAGTATTGTGTAATAGGTAAATTTGTTTGTGTCACATTTATTTCTGTAAATGATGATAACAATATATGAAATCAAGCAAATTGCATATGACAAAATACGATTATCATCAAATCCTGTATCTTCTATTTAAAATAATTAATAAATCATAATTTGTTGAATTTTTTTAAAGAGAACATTATCAAAGAAATAGTTTATTCTTAGCTTTATGAAAATAAACTTCTAATGACACATGATATTGTATTTTATTTGAAATGAATCACAATATCATTTATTCAGTGTTCTTATAATGATTTCGATAAATCTAACGACAGCAATTATTTCATTTATATTTATCTGTATAGGTTATCAACCCACTCATTCCGTCGCTCACTAATATATATATATATATATATATATATATATATATATATATATATAAACGGATATTTACTTATAGAGATGTAATATTGTAAATAATAATTTTGTATTTCATTATTTCTCTTTGAACTTAAATCACATCTTTTTTAAATCATTTTTTTTCCTTGATGACATTATAGAAAATACCATACATAAATATATATTAATCTTGGTTCATTTTCATTTTTATTTCAGATACTTATAGTTGATGCGAAACATTGGTGTTTAGAAATCTCTGTTTCCTTTATGTGCATTATATTCAACACATAATTTATTTCGAATAAAATTTACAAAATTATAATAGAATGTTGTATCAATTATGCATATAAAATTCAGTAGTATTTAAAAGAGAAGCATTTCACCTGTAACAAAATGAAATATGTAGTGAATTAATAAGAGGCTGGATATTAAAACTTTGTTATTGATCAAGTTTTCATCTTTGTGAGAAACTTTTTAACTAAATATCACTTTCAGCTATAACTAAAAAATGAGAGAATTTATTTGAGTTAGTTCACTTTTTTAATTGTTGTACAATAGTTAATATTAGTTAAAGCTACTTCATGTTTATGCTAAAAGGATCATTCTTGTTTTACATACACACATTTATTTATTTATTTATTTGAACACGTAAATATTGGTACAAGAGGGCACCAAATATATATGCGCCACACTTTACTTGTGTGTGGGCTGTGATACTTCCCGGGTGCTCAGATCGAAGCAGGTGATTTTCTTAGGGGGCCACACACTCCTTTTATCATTTAGTCTTTTATTTATCTTGTTATTTTTGTCATCATTCACATAAAATCAAATTTATTCACTTTATATTCTTAAAATCAGTGGAAGTAGAACAATTATTTAAAATTTTGATTATGTTGATACAGAAATATAATTTTATTTTACTGAATCATTTACCTATTGTAATCTATAAATTAACCAATCAGAAATGAAATTTAAAATAATTTTTATTTACCTGAAAATTCCTTCTGTATCTAATCCATTCTCTCGAATAAATTGTACAGTTTCATATACTATTCGAGGTAGAAATTCATTGTCACTTTTTGTATAAGGGAATACTTCATCCAAATGTGTCCCAAACAAAGCTGATTTAAATGTGTTTTAACAAAAAAAATACATTCATTGTCTAAGAAAATCACTTTTAAATTAATCTAACCATATATGATATTTCTTGTATATTCTATTTATTTTTTGTTAAGATATTAATTTTATTAAGGAAGATACGGCCATATCAACTATCCTCAACTATACTTTCAAATAAGATATATAACTACTGCATATTTTATCGATTCTTATTGTTTCATATATTTACAGTAGTAATCATGTAATTTAATTAAAATAAGTTCACAAAGATAAATTAACAATAACTAGTTGATTCAATTAATTATATGATTATAATGACAGCCTGAAGTAAGGTTTAATTTGTTTAAACCTATGATATATTAGTTAGCTAATCTACTAACGCGAAATATTGTTTATAACTGTTTTCATATGAAATTCAATCATTACATGTTTTGTATGTCAATTGGTTTACAAATGTATATTTAATTAATTGAATAAGAATTTTATATACTAGTCATTCTTTTTTCTTTTCTCTCAAAACTTCAAATAAAAGACATTATGTACTATCTTATTATTTGGATACATATTATCCATTTAGCTGATCGATAAAATAATAATTCCTAAATTCATTTTTAATTGTTTGTCTGAATCTTCCCACTGATGTTTAGGATTTTAATTGATCAGTCTCTTATTGGAATATATGTATCCTGTGCGGATTGCCACAATATTGCCTTAAGTCACAAGCATGATGAGCAAAGACGAATATAAAATAAATTTTAACTTCACTCCACTGCACAAGCTAGTGACTACCAGGACTCAGTAGCTAAGTGGATAACGTAATGGCGTTTGAAGAGAACAGTAGTGGGTTTGAGTCCCGGAGTGAGCACCAACTCTGGGTTGAGGGTACATCCAGCCGACGAGTCTTAAATAGGGCAAGATGCGCGTCCCGGATTCCACTTCCAGCCAACATCCATATTTGCCTTTAATAATTACTAGTTTATCTTTTCCCATCCTACTGAATCATTTCATAAGATATAATCTAATTAAATTAATATACAGGCAAATAGACACGTTATACAATATGCATATTTTTTGAAGTCATTCATATTTCTGAATTACGCATATAAACTTAACTATAAAAGATTTATTTACATAAATAAAACAAAAATTTCAAAAAAGACAAATATTTTTTTATTGTTAAAATAATATTTCCACAATACTATAAATGATTTCAGTCCCTTTGGGAAAACATTTACTCATTCATGTTTGACATATATATATATATACAGTTCCCTATAGTCCAATAACACCGTCTGAATAATTCCTAACAAATCATTTTACTTTTAACATTACTAATAATCTTTTCTTTAAAGTGCTGATGCAATTCGTTAAAATGAATATATTTTCATTAGTTTCTTTTTTGTAATTAGTTATTTTTCTCATTTTTTTATCAGCGACATATAAAATCATTTATTGTACTTCTAAAAAATACAATAATTGACCGTAGCTTGATAGTTTTTCTTTTCTTTAAAGTAAAATTCTCGTCGTTCTACTTGATGCACTGTTGAAGATGTTAGGTCTCCAGAACTCACTTGGAAAAGGTTTTAATTTTGTACTTTTATTCTGAAAACTTGAATTTTATGTTTTCGCTCCGAGAGACGCTTAGTTAACCTACAGCTTATATTTTCCACTCGGAAATCCTTGACTGTCATTGATCGACAGATTTTTTTAGTATGCTATTTTGTGGCTCTCCCAAAGGCGTTTCTATCATTGTATAAATAAGCTTGATTTGTATGCTTGGTGACTTTGTATTTTCTCTACACCTCATCAAGACTTCTTGATCTAGTTACCAGGGCTGGGCACAACGGTTTAGGATAGCCTATCGTATCACTGTATCTTTGACCTTTGTTCCGTTTACCAAATAAGGTGAACTCGTAATAGCATTCAAGCATATTATACACCTTTGGAATTATGATAATAATTGCAAACAAAGTTGACACAGTTCTAGTTAGACATCTTTCAAATTGTTTTACATTTAATTTATAATTCTAATTCTGTCACAATATATGTATTACTAGTAATATAATACTCTATTTTGTTTGTATGTAATGTAAGATATACTGCTATAACATTTTATGCATCATCGATGAATAAGAAAGATCTGGTGCAGATGTTAAGACAATAATTGGCAAATCAAAAGTTGCATTCCTACGATCGAACAACATATGAAACTCGAAACAACTGTCAATCAACAAAATCAGAATCTTCAATACGAACGTCCAGGCGGTCCTACTGTACGGAGATGAAACTTAGAGAACTACCACAACCATCGTCAAGAATGCACAAGTATTTATGAATAATTGTCTATATAAGATACTGGGTATCCGTGGGTCGGATACCATCAGCATCAGCCTACTATGGGAGAGAACAAAATAAGTTCCAGCTGAGGAGGTAATTAGGAAAAGACACTGGAAGTGGATAAGACATACACCACGGAAATCACCAAACTGCATCACGAGGCAAGCCCTAACTTGAAGGGAAAAAGAAAAGAAGACCAATGATTGAATAGCAATCGGAAATAACTGAAAAGGATTGCTTAGGACAGGGTTCGATGAAGAATTCAGGTGAGCAGCCTATGCCCCTTCACGAGGGATAACAAGCATAATTAAATATCCAATATATCCGTTGAAAATTACTGCAGTCGTTCATGTCATAGTTATCATTATTTTCAAGAGATCGAACAGACAAACCTATTTAAGTTAAATATTTATTCAAGTTGTATTGGATATGATCAAAATAAGATTTTGTGAAGATTTTAGTAATTTAATAGTTGAATTCATCAGTCAATTAAAACTAGACCACCATGGAAAACCTGGAAGCACTGGATGGCCGTTTCATCCTACTGAGAAGTCCCATACTAGGACAAAACGGCCGTCCAGTGCTTCCAGGTTTTCCATGGTGGTCTAGCTTTAATTGACTCATGAATTCAACCATTAAACTAGTATTAAACAATTGTTTCATTGCTTTTTTAACATCGTATATGTACCGATCTGTGAGCTTTTTTGAAGTACCAGACAAAATCCATCAAAAAATTCAGGAAATTGTATCATAAACTTAAATCTTTTTAAACGATGTGGAAATTTAGACGTCACCAAGTACTTTCTTTTAGATTGTTTAAGAATTAGATCGAAATTTACAGTTGAATAAATAAAATATAATTTCAAAAATAAATAACTGACCACCACCGTAATGTAGGTACAGAACTTTTCGTATTGCTCTTAACCATAACTTTCTTTCACGTGGATTAGGGGCACAAAGTATTACCTGTTGGTATTGATTTTGGTGGTGTTGTTGTTGTGAATGATCATTATGATGAGGATTGTTTTGTAGTGATGAAGAACCGTCTATTCCCACAGATAAATCATAATTCATGTAAGTGAAAAGGGTAAAGAATATATTAAAAATTAACTCACTGTGATAGATTGTAAACTAAAAAACTCTATAATTACTTTATAGGATAATTTAAACATTTATTTAAAAGTTTACTGATAATTAATAAAAATATTCAATTATGATTTACATTAAAGTATACTGGATCCTGGACTATATTCATATTTGTCAAAATATGATAAGCTAGCAAATGAAACAATCATTTCATAAAGAAAAAAACTTTTGTTAGTCAGTTAGTCAAGAACTTCATCCATATATGTTTATACTTAAAATTAGACCAACAAAATTACCAATTAACAGAACAGATATTGTAAGATATTATTAGAATCTAATAAATAATATTTGATAATACTCATTCATCAAGTAACGCATGTATTCGTTGTTATGAAACAAAAAATTCGGTTTTGCATTTACTTCGTCCAGCTATTGTCAAAATTAAAAAGCTGTTATTGTAAAAAAAATAAAAACACATTGCGACGGTAATTGGAAGCAGATGTCTAAATAATGAATGACAGCTGGAAACAACTGAAAAGGATTGCTTAGGACAGAGTTCGATGGAGAATCCTGGTAGGTGGTCTATGCCCCTTCACGAGGGGTAACAGTCGCAAGTACATAATATAAAAACTAAGATTTCTCTTTGAATGGAACATCGACTAAATACTGGTTAAATTAAGCATTTTGCCACTTAATGTTCATACCACTATCTAAATAATTATTCTTAAACTTTGGTTCACAGTTTTAAAGGTAGATAAATGGAAAAGACTAGCCTAATCAAAATGTGAGTTTTAGATTATAGCATGATATTATAAATTTATGGTGTATGCAGGCAAATGAATGAATAAATCGAGTTCCTTCACTGTTTTGCAAAGAATAATTTAACTCGATTGTGGTGTGGGCTACTGATGTCGACAGATATAAGTAGCATGTATCATCAATCGAAAGTTAAATGCCTGGAGGCAGAAAGATAAGAAAATCAAAGAAAAGCGAAAGAGAACAAAGAATGATTGGTGTAAAAACGAAGGAACAATAAAGTCTGAGACTACTGACTGATATTTTGCAAATGAAGTATTTACTGTATGGTTTTCAGATTGTATTAATTTGTTCTGTAATTTTCTACTAAAATACATTCGATTGCCTCCACTTGTGTTCTCGTTCACTTCACAATGACTTAAAATTGATTTGTGGGAAATCTACATAATTTTCCTTCTTGATTAACTTGAGGAGAATAAGACCAACGATTGGATAAGGATAATTTTAATTTGTCGTATTCCATTGAATTCATATCAGCTGCTTACAATTAACAGTAGGCTTAACATTGTATTAACCAAAACCTACCTGGCAGTCACACTGACAGTCTTTTATTGAATAGCATATTCAGTAGTTTAATCAAAGGTTAATGTATTACCACCTATCTCTGAATAAATTTACTCGTACCTGTTAAGTTGACCAAACAGAACGAAAGGCTTATCTTAGATTTAGTGAACGCGTTTTAAAAATCCTTCATTCAAAACAAACAAGGAAGTCCATTAGCATAATTTTCAAATTTCTCTTTGACATAGATAATCAGATAGGCATTATAAAATCTCTAAGGTAACTAAAATACAACTAAGCCGTATTTTTCTCGACTACATTGAATCTATTGCCATCAATAGCTGGAGATAGGGTTTGTGTCTTCCTTCCGGTAATACTTCACGTATTTGACCACACCACATTTCTAAACTCCTTTAATTTGTTTCCACCGCTATAATATTTTCCGAATTTGTCCTAGTTCATTACTTTATTATTATTAAATTAATCCTTAACCACACTACAATTAGCCTTTATTCAATCATCACAATACATGACCACCTAATTTCAATCCTGTAGATTTTTGCTACTGTGTTCCAAAACGTGGTATTTCAAATGTTGTACAAGTGTAATATTTTACAATACCTCTTAACCTTAGTTGGATCTTCGCTAAACTAACAGAATTTCAAGTACTCGTTCGAGGGATAAATTATGACATTACAATAACATTACGCAATACCAGAAGTGATTACTAGTTGTTCAGAAGCATAGCTATATATTAAAAAATTTGCATCATTTATGTTATTTGTTGAACTATAATCACCGGTGCCTGCACTGATTATATTTTATATCCTTACGGTCTACTTACTTTGATTTTATCTAATCTTCATACTAAGTCCCCCTGATCAGCTTATCATAAATATATATTGTAAAATAATCCGATGATTATCAGATAAGCTTTGTTTTCTCATTACATTGCCCTTACAAAAAATTTTAAATCACATTGAAGATCAGACAGAGAATAACTGAAAATGAACTAGAACTCCAAGGGTATTTTTTTAATCAGTAGAAATTGTAAAACGTAAACGATCAGACCTAGGTTTAATGTTAACGCTTACACCAATTAACGAGGACCACCGGACATATATTTTGTTACAGTGTGAGACTCTGCAGTGCGCAGCGACGACCCCACCAAGTATCGAACCCAGGACCATGATGCTTTATGGCTAGAGCTTAGCCTCTAAACCAATGGACCGGTACCCACTGGTCTACATTTTCAACTTCAATGAATTCGTTACATTGCGCAATCACTTAATGACCCCAGTGATATGTGATTGAACTCCTTTGGTCACGACTTTCATTAGAACTTCGAGTACCAACTCTCGAAATCAGTTACTAGTAAATACGTAGTTGTTGTTGGTGTGAGGGATTTGTGAAGATTTACATCATGGACTGATCTTAGTTAAGCAACCGCTGAAAATTACGAAGCACTAGACAGTTGTTTCTTACTAGTCACACGAACAAACAGTCATCAGTTTTGGCTTGAACATATGTAATTTATATTTGTTTCACACATCAACTATATTCGGTGTTTACAAAAATTGATGCACATTGGTACGTGATCAATGAATTTAATAAAAGCATTTATCAGCCATTAAAGTTTCCTAATGTCAGTTTGTACTACATCATTGTTGTTTGTAGTGCTCACTGCTACCAGCATAGAAATTTCAACTCATTGATTTTGCATTACACACAATACATATTTATTTTTATCATTCCGATTATTTTAGCTTTTTACGCAGTTTGTGCTTACATTACTTATGTGATTCTGAAATACTTATTGATAAGGAGACCTTATAGATCAGGAACTATCTGTCATTCAAAATGGCTATTACAGTAATACAGTGTATTTGTAGTGGGGAAGACCAATTTATTATTTAATGCAAAATTAGTGTTTTCATAAAATTTGAAAACCATACATTAAATACTTCATTTGCACATCTTCCATCAACTGTCTCTCAAACTCCATCGTTCTTTCATTCCATAACAATTATTCTCTGTTTACATTCCTATTCTCTTCAATTCAATCTTCTCAATCTTCTGCTGCTAGGCATTCCGCTTCTGACTGGTGTTACATACTATTTATGTCTGTCGATATAAGTAGCATATACCACATACTGTGTTTATTTATGATATTTGAAAATATTAATTGAAGTTCATTGACGTACATTTTCTGTTAAACTATTTCACTGGTAGTGTATTTAACGATAGAATTTAATGACACTGATCTTAGTGCCAGTCTAAACACTAACTCTATTTACAAATGTAAATCCATCTTGTAGTTGGAATTTAAGAAGTATAAAATTTGTGTCCATCCCCTACTTATCTAACACTTTTTGTTAGTCCATAGTAATAATAATACAATGAAGGAAAACAAATATTTCGATTGAAAAAAAGTGATATGAGAAAGTTATAGTTAGAAGACTTACAAATTTTAAGTAGTAATAAACATGATTTATCCCCATTATATTCTAAATCACCAGTATCGGATTCTATTTGTGCGAAATCTAAACAAAATTCACCCAGAAGTTTTTTTCTGTCAGTTCCAGTATAATAGTAAAGATGTGTATCTGTTAAAACATAATATCTTTCTTTCCAAATTTTTAGTTTTCCACCAAGTTTTTTTAACCATCCTTGGTACTTGTCAGGTGACTTTATGGTCTCTGAGTTAGCTTGTATCTATTGTATAAAGGTGAAATATATTTATTTTGAATTCAGATTATCATACAACTTACGAGTATGAAAATACAAAATTTCTAAGCAATTTAAAATTTTGATGATACTAAGCATCTTAGATTTTGAATAGAACAATCTAAAATAAAATGAATCACTGGAAATTTGGTTAATAAATATACTAATCTACGCGTTAATCAGTCACTGTTTACGCAAGTGCGTATTTAAGTAGTCCTAGAAATTTTCTCAAACTTTGCAGTGGTTAAAACTAACAAGACAGTGAACCTCTTGTCACGAATTAAGATATATCACACATATAAGAAGAAATTACTTAATTATTAGGTACTACCGTATTCAATACAAGCGAGAACAAGGCATGTCAAAGATCTATTCTATAACATTTGAAAAAAAAAGTCAATCTTGTTCCCTTTAAAGTATTCCCCATTTGTGAATATGCACTAGTCATATCTTCGTTTCAATTATAAGAAGCATCTCTAAATATCCTCGGAAGCAAACCTTACAGTTATCCCATCATTCCACATTTTGATATCTCTATATCGTCTCAAGATCACCTTCACATGATTATTTTGAGTTTCGAGGATATAAACACCATATAAGAGTTAGGTTTGGTGAGAAACCAAAGTAACCTGAGCTAATGATTAATTTACCCTAAATTTTATAGGACAAACTTCCAAACTCATATCACTTGTTTATTGGATAGAATAAAAGAAATTACAGCTCTCATTGACTAGAAGCTAAACAAAAACAAACAGCCAAAGTCAAACCATTTCAAAGTGGTAAATCTTTAAGAAACGTTTGATTGATCGTTTACTTATTTTTATTTATGAATGACAACCTTTGTAGCATAATTCACGAAGTTTTTCCGAACAGAACATGTATACATAAATTTTCAATCAATCCTATTCAGTCTCACAACACTCGTTTATTTAGTCAAGTAAAAAATAGTTGATCTGTTTACTAGTTATTGTGAATATGCCTTTTGAATATCTGTGAAACTTTTTTAAACAGAAACACTTTTAAAAGGTTAATCAACCGATAATTCTAATATCACCATGAAATGAATCACGTCTGTCAGTAAAATGCAGCAGTTCTCCATTGTAATTTTTCCGAACACATATGTATAATAAATACCGAATAGCCAAAACATTTACAAATAACTATTCAACAAACATATTAGTTATTTATTCTACCTATAGGATGTATACTTGATTGGCATTATTCAACTATCTTTTATCTAACACATTGTGGTGTTTGCTCTGATTCACACTCTAAACCATGTCTTCATTCTTTTTTGGCTACAACACATACTTCACTCTCTATTTTATGTTAATATGGAAACTAGAAAAATACTATTGCTTTTCATTTATTTGTACACAGGATAACGTAGCTATCACATTGTATCGTTCAAAAAATAATAGCTTGACAGTGTTCTATGTAGAACTAAAATCATACCTTGAATTGCAACGTCAAACACCAAATTAATTTTCCTTGAAATTCTGTTAACTGTTATACTACCTAAGATCGGTACAAAATAAAAAAGCATCTACATAACTTTAGTTATAACACTAGCTATCAGTGTCATTAACTTATCCAAGATGATCTCCATCAACTTTTTTTAACTACAAGTTACGTAATAAACAACATAAAGTTTCGGCAAAATGAATATGGTAAAGGACATGTGAGTTTTTCCTAATAACCATTCAGTAATTCATTACCTAGTTTGAGTTGACAAATTGTATGGAAATGTAAAAATTGGATAAAAGTTCAACTGATTAACACTAGTAAAGAAGACATTACTCATGCAAAAATGTGTATGATCATTGTGCGCAATACAAGTAGGACAAGGTTTACAAAATAAACTGAATTTAGATTTTACTTCTAATGTTTTTTTTTGTTAACAATTAACAATATGTAAAGAAAGAAAATACATAAAATAAGTCAAACACATATTCATCATTTAATAGGTCTTGCATCTTCTTTTGATTTATCTCAAAGACTACAACTGACTATTCTCTTTTGATATATGTGCATTCTGAGAAGATAACAATGATATTACCACATAGACATAAGTTTTTAGTAAATTCGGGTAGTGGCTTACTAACTTACGTAATTACGCCTATTACCTCTCGTGGAGAATAATAAGCCACCCAATAGCATTCTCCATCCAACTCTCTCCTAGACAAGCCTTTTCAGTTGTTTCTACTTGTTATTCACTCTTTTCACATCTTCCAACTCCCAACGTAGTGTGTTATTCGGCCTTCCTCTTTTCCATTCCCCTTCACAATTCCGAGGTAAAGTTTACCTCGTGATGCAGCTTGGTGACTAGAAATGTATATCATATCCACTTCCAACATCTTTTCCGAATTTCCTCCTCAGCTGGAACCTGTTTTGTTCTCTCCCATACTAGGCTGTTATTGATGGTATCCGACCAACGGACATTCAGTATCTTACACATACAATTGTTTATCAATATTTGTACCTTTTGATTATGGTTGTGGTAGTTGTCCACGTTTCAGCTCTGTACAGTAGAACTATCTTAACGTTCGTATTGAAGATTCTGATTGTGTTGTTGACTGACAGTTGTTATGAGTTTCATATGTTGTTCAATTGTAGGAATGCGACCCTCGCTCTGTCAATCCTCACCTTCACGTCTGCACCCAATTCTCCTCGTTCATTGATGATGTTATCCAGATACATGAATGTCTTCACCTCTTCCAGAGTTTCTCCATCAAGTGAGATTGGGTTGGTGTTCCCCGTGTTGCATTTAAGGATGTTGCTTTTTATCTTGTGTATGTTGAAGCTTACTGATGCAGGGGCTGCTACTACACTGTTTGTCTCGACTTTCATTTGTTGATGTGTATGAGATAGAAGGGCCAGGTTATCTGTGAATTCCGAATCGTCTAGTTGCATGAAAGCTGTCCACTGTAGCCCGTGCTTCCCGTCAGATATCGTGGTCTTCATAGTCCAGTCAACCATCAGAAGGAAGAAGAAGGAGGAGAGAAGACAGTCTTGTCTGACTCCGGTCCTTACTTGGAATGCATCTGTCAGCTCTCCTCCATGCACGACTTTGCACTGTAACTCGCCGTATGGGTAGTGGCTAGTAATGGAATACAGGATAAACGTTTTGTCTTGTACGGAACTCGTAAGTTGATCAATCTCAGTGCTTGACATCAACTAAAGAAAGATATGAACATTACAAATAATAAATAATTCGTCCCACTGCATAAGCCAATGGCTATCTGAACTCAGTATCTCAGTTAACAACATCTTGGGAGTATGAAGTAAAACTGACTGGTTTCGAGTCTCGATGCATACATCAACATTGGGATGCAGGTACGTCTAACTGACAAGTTCCAAACAGGATAAGATGCATATCATTGATTTCAAGGATAGCCGTTATCAAAGTTCTAAAATGCTTTTATTAGTGAACAGTGAGGAAAGCACATGAAATTGAGAAAAATGGCATTCTAGAAATATCTTACGTACAAATAATTACGGAAATGAATGCATTAAAAATAGATTATAAAGTTTTGAAAGCAAGTATGAGTCAATACTATTATTTTATTTAATGTTCAGCAAGTTCAAAAAATCACAGTGAGGATCAACAGCTAAAAAAAAAGATAAGCAAATATTATTCAGTATCTATTTTTACAGACATGAATTAACTTTAAATCGGATTAGTTATGTCAGTTGATTTTTTTCTATGTAAGGGAATAAATCTCTGGTATGCTATTAGTCTACTTACATTTATTCTGTGTCATTTCAGCATTATATACCCTATTTCAACCATTTTTATATACTCCATTATTTGATACTATTGCAAAGTACAGATACTATGGTCAGTCAATTTTGATATCAGCTACTTTGTTGATAGGTTTGTTCCGTTTATGTGTGTTTTAGTTGAATCTGTGACAAATGTAAACAACAAAAATTCTCCCATCATCAGACACGGGAAAGATTTGATAAAATAGCATCTCGATTTTGATATAATTCCTTCTTATTGGTAAAAATAAAGTTACAAATACGACTGAATATGATTTTGACAGGGACTCACCCTTTTTTGATCAGTCAATAAGACTTATTTTATACTAAAAACTAAAATATTTTTTATCTCCTAGTTAATACATAACTTTGTATTAGGTTTTTCTCAACTGTGCTCACACTGTAAAGTCAACATTTGTATTGTATGCTCTTGACTTAGAAAACTAGGTTACTGAGTAAAATACTAACTCGTCTTATTGTGGAACACTTGTTCTACTTTCTTTTTAATAGACAGATATTATTGTTAAATCTTTATTCAGTAGTATGTCATTGTTTTATTAGAAAGAGATTATCTTTCTAAACACCTCATGTCAAATCGCTTTTTTCTTCAAATACCATGAACGAGGTATCTAAACAATAAGCTATATGTGCAGATATATTTGTATAAATATAGTTTCATTGTGCATATTTTTACCTTTTCATTCACTGAAATAATCATTGTCTTGCTATTAGAAACCTTTAAAAAAGATGAATACGTGAAAAATAAACAACAGACATATATACAATCAATAAGAGAAGAGTTCACAAATTCCAAAACAATAAATTCCAAGAAAATGATTAAATAGGTGGACTCATTTATTTTAGTGTCCTATTTCTTTTTCTTTTAAAATAGAAAACAGTCGAAAAAAATGAAATTAAGACTTGAATAAAAAATAATAATGATAAAATAATGGCTACTAATAACTAAAATGCTTAATAATATTAAATGCCTATATAAATACATGGAATCGCAGGCACATCTGTAGTTTACCATCTGTGAATATCGATTTTACCATCCGTAGAGTAGAGGAAACAAGGTTCACTACTATTAAAATCAAGACTGTTTATGTACTAGACAGTATATGTTTTTTGAGAAATTAATAACGTATTTCTATGAAAATAAATGGAATGTGGCTAGCACTGAGATCCAGGGAGCACGTTTCGTCCTATTCGATACCCATCAA